GCGTCACGCCCACTAAAGTGGCTAATAATCAAAAAGGTGGACAGTGACAAGGGTTAGCAAGGATGTGTGGAAATCAGAGCCCTTGTTGCTTTAACTGCCTTCCATTCACCCAGTTGGTGTGGGCAGGATTCTTGCCTAGGGTTATGGAGATGGTCGATTATGATGACATGAGGAGAGAGTGCGGTGAGAGGGAGGAGAGAGGGAGGTGAGGACAGAGGTAAACTCGGCCAGACCAGGAAAACCTTGTGGGCTGTTACAGACTGTGCAGTGAATCCCAAGAGCAAGGGGAGGCCAGGGAGGGGCTGTAAGCAGGGCGGGTAAGCTCCTTCTCTGACCCCCCTCCTCCTGCCCTTCCCTTACTCGCTTGCTCCAGTTGTGCACCCCGCATGGAGCCTTGGAGGGCTTTTCCACCTACCCCGAATGCCTTTCTCCTGCATGTCTGCATTGCTCCCTCCGTCACCACCTTCCATTTTTTGTCTGTCTCACCTATGGGGTGCGACCTACCCTGACTCCCTACGTAGTACTGTAAAACCTACCCACAGCTCCCCTTACCCTGCTGTGCTTTTCCTTTTCCGAGCACTATTATGTCTCACATGCTATAGTTACATATTTGTTATGTGCATTGGTTATTAACTGTCTACTGAAAGAGCAGAGGCTTCATGGAAGCAAGTATTTCTGTTATTTTAGCTCACTGATCTAGTCAAGCACATAGAATCGTGTCTGTCTCTGTTCAGTGAATAATAAAATCTGTTTTAATAAGATGACTCTGGTGACAATGTGGGGATGACTTGGACAGTTATCACAAGTAGATGGAGGAAGAGCAGTCACCCACTGCTCTTAGCTCCACTGCTAATACCCAGTCCGAGCCACCAACCTCTCTTACCTGTCACACTCTAGGCACAGGCCTTCTTTCTCTTTTTGAAGTATAGAAAAACCCTCTTTAAGGCCTTTACACTTGATCCTTATGCCTAGCAGGCTCATGCCCCAGATCTTGGCATTGCTGGCTACTTCTTTCCGTTCCATTTTCAGCTCAGATACCTTAGAGCACTTTTATTAACAAGCTAATCCAAAGAAGGGGCCTCCCTTCTCTGCTCTGCACCATCACTCTCCTTCACAAACTTCAGCACGTGCTAAAATCATTGTGTTTGTTCAATTATTATCTTTCCTTCTTCAGGATGTAAGCTCCATGAATACAGGGTCTTTCCTCATCAATATTCAATCTCTGATGCCAGGAAGAATGCCAAGCACTTCATGAGTGTTCAGTATTTGTTCCTGGAAGAGATTACTGCAATAGTCCCAATCAGAGAGCTGGGGCCTAAACTACCAAAGTGGGAAGATTCTAAAAGTTCTCAAGTAGAATCCACAGGAGTTGGTGATTTAGTGATGTTAGAATTAATAAAAGAGGAGAGTTAAGGATGGCTTCTGTTCCTCCTTCACACCAGTTCAGTTTTGACTTTTGGGTTTGATGTACTTCTGAAACATCCAAACAGATATGGTAAGTCCACAGCCAAATGTTTCAGTCTGGGCTAAAGATGAAGATGAGAGCAAACACTTATAGATAAAACCAGGAGGATAAGCAAGATCGGCAAGAGAGGAGAGGTTCATTGCAGCATTATTCACGGTGGCCAAGACATGGAAACAACCAACGTGTCCTTCGATCGATGATTGGATAAAGGAGATGTGGTGCATATACACAATGGAATACGACTCTGCCATAAGAAAAGATGAAATAGTGCCATTTGTGACAACATGAATGGCTCTTGAGATTATTATGCTAAGTGAAATGTCAGATAGAAAAAGTTGAGAACCATATGATTTCACTCATATGCGGGATATAAAACTGAAAGCAACAAAGGAACAAGACAAACAAATAAAGAAACAAAAATTCATAGACACAGACAACAGTTTAGTGGTTACCAGAGGGTAAGGGGGTAGGGGAGGTGGTAGAAGAGGTTAAAGGGGGTCAAGTATATGGTGATGGAAGGAGAATTGACTCTGGGTGGTGAACACACAATGTGATATATGAATTATAGAAATGTACACTTGAAACCTATGAGTTTTATTGTTTATTGTCACCCCAATAAATTTTAATAATAAATAAAAAGAGGAACATAAGTGAGTTCCTACAGGCTGGAGCTCTGTGGAACTCCAAGTTGAACTAGGAAAAAAAGGCGCAAGCAGAGAAAAATGAAAAGAAGCACAGAGGAAGGTAAAACACAAGCTAGAAGCCAAGGGAGAATGTTTAAAAAAAAAAAAAGAAATAAAAAAGGAAGTATTGTGTCATTATGCTGTTTTGATAACTATTGACAAATCAAGATAAAAATGTAAAGATGTTCACTAAATTTAATTAGTGACTTCAGCAAAAAAGCATCAACAGAATGATAAAAAAATTTACCATAATGGAGAAGGTTGAAAAGCCAAAAATATCAAAGATATACTTCAGAACTTTACGTACTATACAAAGCCCCTCTCAATTAAGGCTCATTCTTCTAGAATTCAGTCAGGATCAACTGTCTGCCCTAAAAATGGTCCCAAACAAAGGAACACGATACTGGACTCTTCGAAACTGCGGGGAGAGTTTTCTTACCTAACCTATGCTAACACTTAGCGCAGAGTAAGCACTCAAGAGATGTTACTTCCTTTTCTGATTCCCTCATCATAAGAAAGACTTCGAATCCAGAGGAACCTAAGTACCTCAGCAGCTACAGTAAAAATGAGTTGGGTTGGGTTCATAAGCACTTTGAACTTTCCCTAAGTTTGATATTTTCACACACACAAATATACAGTCTTTTATCTGGCATATTAGATTAGAAGCTAAATGTTAGTCACTGTCATAATTTTAGGTATTCTTTATCCAGGTGGGAGCAATTGGATCAATTAAGCACACTTCAGTTCAGTCGATATATACTGTTTCTTTGTGGGGTCAGCACCAGGGTTCATACAAGAAAAGGACAGAAACATAGGGCAATAGCTGTGAGGAGGCGCTCCTTTTCATCTTCTCTAATTAGCCAAATTCCGTAATAGAGAAGATACAAAAGCCTTTCTTCCAGGGGGTGTCCTCTGTACAGGCCATGTCTGGGTTAACATGGGCAGAAACAAATGAAAATAATACAATCAAGCTAAAAAAACCTGTCAATCAGAAAGATAATTTACCCAGATGTACCAGACGGACAGAGTACTGGGCTGACACAGTCCAGGACTGACACACAGAGGGGAGATCCTGCACTGAGCATGTGCTGAGCACCAGTAAAGGAAGGTCATCAAATGATGAGCAAAGGCATTTGGGGAAAAATGTAATATCTGAGACATAAGAAAAATTAGACATGATAGGAAAAACTCAGACTTTGTTGGACTCCCTTATACTTACTTTATTGTTTAATATTGTTTTAGTCTGGATTACATAATACTTCCACTGCTTGAACATTCTAAAAATCTTGTTCCAACCCGACACAGAAAGCATTTTCGAAAGTGTTTGGTTTTGATTTAATGATAAGAAAATAAATTAGAGGTAGAGATCCATAACTTCATTAAAAGATATATGCAGGGGCCAGCCGAGTGGCTCAGTTGGTTAAGAGCTCGCTCAAGAGTTTGAGCTCTGAGCAACAGCGGCTCGAGTTCTGCCCGAGCTGAGCTGCCGCTGAGCTGCCGACAGGCGGCAGGATGGCTCAGCTAAAAAAAAAACCAAACAAAAAAACCACAAAAATATATGCAGATATGTTGATGTTATTTTATTGAAAATAGTTTATTTTCCTAACTTCTAAAATAACTAATTTTGGCAAAAGAATTGTTCATATCTAAACTCAAAATGATTTAATGAACAATTTAAAGTACATTTCATGAACTTCACACACACACACACACACACACACACGTTTAACAGAATAAGAGATGAGTAGCAGCAACCCACTTCTTGAGTTGGGTAGGGCCCATATGACGTCATGCCTTTGTTAACCATTTAATGGTTAAGTCTGGAAGCTCTCCTAAAACATCAAGAGGCTCTCTGAAGATATCACGCCACTATCTTTTGGGAAATTTGGAAGAATGATGAGGAATCCAGAAACAAATTCTGAGTTATCATGTGAATACAATAATAATCGCAATAATGACAGCTAATGTTTATTAGGCAATAAAACTTTCTAGACACTGTTAGAAACTTTTATGTGTCATCTTATTTAATTCTTACAACAATCCCATAGATTAGCTTCCATTACTATCTTAAAATTCAGGGTCTGAGAACTTAGATTAATTTGCCCAAGGTCATACATTGGAGGTGAAATTCAAACCAAATGTGTCAGAGTCCCGTGTCTGCAATTTTTGACACTATGTTTTACTGGGGAAAAGGCGAGCCAGCATCTTTCTATAAACAAGGCAATTATCACCATTAATAACAGAACTGTCCCTTTGAAGAACAAAACCCCACGGGGTTATTTTCACCAACTCTACAGCAAATGTCTTGCTGTTAGCACACTGTTAAACCTGCATTGATATGTTGATAAAGTCCAACATGGTAATTATAATTGAATTCTAAAGTGTCATACATTTCTAGCTATCAGAGAAAGAATTGCAAATTGAAATGTCATGGTTTCTTTTTTAGTTAGTATATTACACAAGCTTTCTAATAATTCAATGATATGTTTAGGTACCTCCAGGGATGTTATTATAATAAGTATTTTTTTAAAAAGCTGGCATCATTTTGACAGAAAGCAAGTTTTCACTTTTTCTCTTATATCATCCAACTCGTATGAATAAAAACATTGTTTTTTAAGTTACTGGAAGGAATGTTATGGTAGCAAGATTAAATGGATTATAAGAAAAAAAAACCTCAAAATAAACAACAACAACAAAGGATGGGAGGAGGGGAGTGGATCAGAGCTACTCAGAGAAGTCTTTTTTGTGTTGAGGAATCTAGAATGGGTCAAAGGGTATACACTGAATTATGCCCAGTTCCAAGGGCAGAGAGGTTAGAGAGTTAGGTAATTTAAACATATAAACAGACTTACTTTCAGAAGAGCCAAGGCTACATGAAAGATTATGTTCAAACCCTGAAATAGAAAAGGAGAGTCAACATCAGTACAGCATACAATACACATATAATAATTGTTAAACCATGAGATTTTTTTAAAAAGTAACTTCCTTTTCTGAGAGGCCTATTGCAAAATTTAGGTGCTATTTAATGAATGGTCACATAAAATTATTGTTTTCACAATAAATTATTGTCCTTCCATCTGTTTCTGGATTACTTCCATGATCTCAGGCTTATAAAACTCAAGTTCCTAGATGAAGATGGCAGTGATGCAGAAGTAAAAAATTATTAACTGAAATTCATAAGTCCTTGTCTGTACCTCTGGGGGGTGTGGCTAAACTGCCAGTGGCAGACAAAACAAAACAAGACAAAACACAAATAATGTTGCTGATAATGGAGACAGATTGTATGAGGGGAGTTATAAGCATCACACCGGATTCCTGGATTCCCGCTACTGTTCTTATATTCTGATGTTTGTTTTAGTGCTTGCTTTCAACCAGACGGCAATTAGGAGCTGTCTGCTAGACTTGCTTTTCCTTTTTTCCCCACTGAAAACCAGAGTGATATTTCTTTGGGAGTAAGCAAATTAAATAGCCATATCGGAGCTGGATTGTGAACTCTGGGTTAAGCCCGATGACTCTGAAGAGATGCTGAGATATTCAATTCAAAAGACGGAATCAAATGCTCAGGATGACAGAGGCAGAAGTCATCATACATGAGACGACAATCTTTCGAGTAGGAGTTGACATCTCCCATAAGCCCAGAGTCTATCTGACGTGCCCTCTTCATCTTAGTCACAAATACAACCTCTCTGCCTTCTGGCTATGGAGCTGGATCAGACATATAATGCAAAGAACTTCTAATAAACCGTCCTTTGTCTCCAAATTCAGAAGTGAGGATTAGGACAACGTACTCAGAATGCATTCCTGTCATAATTTGCTAATGTAACCTTTCACATTAGTCACCAAAAACATCATGTAATGATGGAAGGAGTGAATGATAAACACAAAATACTTGGGTTTACTCAATTCTTTAAGAAACCAAAAGCAGTAGGAACTAAAAATAGGAGACAAAAACAAATCGACACAGGTCATCGCAACACCAAGTAATGATCCTAGACTGCTTTGATCACTATTTATCAATTAGAAGAAAGAAAGATGTCTATTGCAGACCAAAGCACTTGGGTTACAAATAAGCAACACTTGCTTTCCCAACCTAAATTTGCAACCTCACCCACTAGCTGCAGGGGAAACTTGCAGACCCAGAGAAAAAAAGACCTTCTGCTCCTCCTTCACCCCCACATCACAGCTGCTAGGCAGTAGAGAGTTCTTACAGCCTTAGTGCTCACTGAGATGCCATCAGGCTAAACCCACCATGTCCCTGTCTTGTTTTCCTAGTCACTGCTCAAAACCAAGTCCCCTTGTCTGCAGCTCTCTAATCCTCATGATGCTCTGGTCCCTTTCCTAAGCTTTCTCCCTCCCTCTTCTCCTTCCCAAGCCCTTCAGTGCCCTCTGTGGAACTACCACTCCATGCTCAGTCAACTCTTCTATATTCTCAACCACCCTCCCAAGTGCATGCCCCCCGCCCCCAACCCTTGAGTGTACCGGGAGAGCGAAATCGCATTGATTCTCATAATAACATGTATTACGATGCCCATTTTTCAGAATATTAACTTGACTAGCCTAAGGTTATATATGTATTTAGCAGCAGGCTGGGGTCATTCCCCAAGCCTCCTCAGATCTAGTTTAATGGTATTCTCACCACACAGTGCTGGGGTAATGTACACAGCAAGTGCTTATTTGATGACCAAATGATTGATCTATACCAGCTCTCCCAAGTTTTCTGGGATTTATTCATTTCCCCATGGACCCAGCTAAACCAGTTACAGAATCATTATCAAATTATGGTAAGAAACCCTTTTTTTCAATTATCTCAAAGTAGAAAGTATTGGACAACCGAGCTATAAAAAAACACAAACACAAACTTAGAAATTAAAAAAAAATTAGAGATCTCTAAAAAGGCAAAATAGTTCTCATTAACTAAAATTTATTCAAAATTTTAATTTATATACACTTCAAATTAGTTTGGTGATATGATTTTATAGTTCATAGATATCAGAAGTAGCAAGCTAAAATCAAAGTGTGTGCTAGGTGCGGTTAGGGACAGAGAGCTTGTAGAGACAGTTGTCAGAATTAAAGTATTAGGTCTGACAGAAAGAGAAGACATACTGTAAAAACCTTTAAAATGTACAGTAGTTAACATTAGCTCATCATTATGTCATGTTCAGAAAATTGTGCTTAAGAAGGGAGCATAGTATGTGTTTTAAATAAAAAGCAGATCGTTTTTTTTTTAAGCTTGGGGAAATAAGGTATAACTTTCAGTTACCAGAACAAGTGTATATATGTAAACTCTTCAAGTTCAGAAGAGTAAAGTGTTACGGCCTCTGCTTACATGATGCTCCAGACATTATCCACAAAAGTCAGGAAAAGCAAAGAGTTCACAAGCCTTGAACTAAGGTAGAATAGTGAGGCCAAACTATGCCAACGAGGACACTTTCTGACCTCTGAGTTGCTGAGAATGAGGAAAAACTTGCTATTCTACCAAGATCTTTATTTCACTGTGAGATGTATCCTGATTTCCTAAGAGGAGAGTAACAAAGGCACCCTTAGTTGGATATTTTAAAATATCTATTTCTTTCTTTTAAATAAGACTTATTTTCATTTAGATATATAATTAGAGGTATCATTAAATTACAGGGACTTCCACGGGACAGCATTTGGTCAGTTTAAAAGTGGGGCACAACAAGTAGGGTGGATTTAAGATGATAATGTGAATACCAGCCGTGGTCCTCAGCCTCCCAGCCAACAACACAGTGAACTAAAGGCACCGTGAACTGAATCCACCATTATTACTTTATTGTCCACCTAGTCTTACATGATCCAACCTTTGCCTAATTCGGCTGAAATTTCATTTTTGAAATACATTTTCAAAAGACAAAGATGTTACACGTTTTCAAGATGCCTCCCCTTTTCAGAAATATGTAATTTGCAGCAATTTGTTTGCTACTGAGGAGTAAATTAGGCTTCCTAATGGGACTCAAAAGGTAAAACATTTGGAGAGTCATTAAGAGCAAAAATAAGTAGATATGTTGTTATGGCTACTTATTATTTATAGTGCAAGGTCCAACTCCAAGTGCAAGATAATAAAGAAGAGCCAACATGCACTGAACATTTTCTATGTTCTGGGATCTGAATGAATTACATTGAAAACATGTCCTTATTTAATCCCATGATAACCCTAAATTCCATTTTACACACAGGAAATGAAGACTTAGAGCAGTCAAGGCAAATTTCTCAAGGTCACACAGCTAGCAACTAGATTTTCACCTAATCAGTGCAACTCTGCAAGTCATACTCTTAACCACTAAGTTAGAGAAGATGGCTCCACGAGGAAGTGAGTGAATGAATGAAAGAATTCCTTAGTTGGGCATTATTTATATGTCCTCTAATTCCTAAAGGATCAAAGTGATTCCTCCCATTTAAAGGCAAGTAAATTTTGACAGCAGAGATTAGAAAGATAACAAATGGATGACTTCTACCCAAACCCTATTTTATCATTTGTCTCCATATTGAAAACACTTCACAAAAGTAGCGGCTGCTTATAGGATGTGAGGCGATAGCCTCCACTTGCTGTGGAAAGAAAGGGTCAACACCTTCCCTGGTGACAGCAGGGCGAGAGCAGCCCTGTGTGCGTGAAGAGGTGGTTCCTGAGCTGACTGGGAAGCTGCTGTTCCCAAGTTCAGTCATGGCCTGGAAAGCTCTTCGCTTACAGAACACCTACAAGTAATTGCCCCAAATTAAATAATTGCTGCAAAGTGCAGATGCTCGTGTTCCTGGGTAGGCCAACATGGAGCGCCCACGATCCCGCATGAAGGGAGGCTGACAGCAGAGCACTCACTGAACAAAGACACGCACATGTCGGCTGTGATGAGCAGGCAGCCGTGGGCTCAGAGGGAGCTGCCAGGCTGCGTGAGGGGCTGTCAAATGCGATGCTGACAGCACAGAGAACGATTGCTGCAAAGGTGGTGTCAGAAAGTGCCAAATGTGCCTTGGCACCTGGGCCTCGGGGACCAAAATAAAAGGGAAATAAAGAGTATGTGGAAGTGGGAATTCTAACAGTAAGGCCATGACACATGACCAAGCCCGAAGTGGCCAAGGTAAATGGAGCAGGCCCACAGAAAAATGCAGCTAAAGCCACAGGAAACGTGGGCTGCCCTTTCTGACTCATCCGACATGGGCATTCCACCCCAGGAAGGGGAATGACTAAACAAGGTGGCATAGAAAGAGCTGATGAATGAACTGAGCACTTGCTGAATATTTGATAAATGCTAGCAATTATTATTAGGCTCACGTATTTGCTGCCACCATGTCCAGTATTTTATATATTTTTTCACTTAATTCTCTCACAACTCCATGGCCTATGGGCTACTGCTACCATTATAGAGATGAGGGCGCTGAGGCTCGGGGACACCACACTGTTAGTAAATGGTACAGCCAGGTCTAGAGCATCTGTCTGTCAGATAAAAAACAAACCCATGCTTTTATCATGGAAGCTATGCCCGTACTCTGGGCCCAGGCCTTCCATGACTGGCAGCTTTCATGCCTCATCTCTTGGAGTATTCGCTCTTGGATGTCAACCACCATGTAAGAAGCGTGATTACACTTCGAACCCCATGACTAATAAGTCAAACAAACAAGAAAGGGCCTCTAGGACGAGGTGCCATCCACAAGAAAGATCATCCAGGTACCAGATGTGTGAGGGTGCCAGATGTGTGAGTGAAGATGTCATTCTGAAAGTGACTTGTCCATCACCAGGTGCCCCACCTGAAGCCACATGGCACAGAGATGAACCACAGAGCAAGATCCTTTCCAAATTCCTGACTTATGAAATTGTGAACAAAATAAATGGCTGCTTTGAATTTTTTAAAACCTTTCATTTTGAAATGATTTCAGATTTAGA